AGAGAGAGGAGAGGAGAGGAGAGGAGAGGAGAAGAGAAGAGAAGAGAAGAGAAGAGAAGAGAAGAGACAGAGAGAGGAGAGGAGACAGAGAGAGGAGAGGAGAGGAGAGGAGAGGAGAAGAGAGGAGAAGAAAGAAGAGAAGAGAAGAGAAGAGAAAGGAGAGGAGAAGAGACAGAGAGGAGAGGAGAAGAGACAGAGAGGAGAGGAGAGGAGAGAAGAGAATTGGAAGGGACCTTAGAGGTCTTCTAGTCCAACCCCCTACTCAGGCAGGAAACCTATACCATTCCAGACAAATGGCTGTCCAGTCTCTTCTTAAAAACTTCCAGTGTTGGAGCACTCACAACTTCTGGAGGCAGGTTGTTCCATTGGTTAATTGTTCTAACTGTCAGGAAGTTTCTCCTTAGTTCCAGGTTGCTTCTCTCTCTGATCAGTTTCCACCTGTTGCTTCTTCTCCTGCCTTCAGGTGCTATGGAGAATAGGTTGACCCTATTCTCTTCTTTGTGGCAACCCCTAAAATACTGGAACACTGCTATCATGTCCCCCCTGGTCCTTCTCTTCATCAAACTAGACATACCCAATTCCTGCAACCGTTCTTCGTATGATTGAGCCTCCAGTCCCCCTGATCCTCTTTGTTGCTCTTCTCCGCACTCCTTCTGTGCATTTCTCTGCATTTCAAAAACTTCGGTGCCTTGTCCTGATATCTGAATTGATTTTTTTTTTTTTGCAGGTAAAATCTCTAGAATTCAGTTGGATACTATCAACGAAGCATCTAGAACTCAATTGGTATGGTTGGATCAACTTCAGTCGTAGTTTTGTGGTTTTGAAATGGCGACGCTTGGAAACAAGTTGTTCCTTGCGTCGGGGACGTATCCCACGGTACCGCCAAGGCTAAGTTCTGTCTCCTACGTTTTTCAACACAGGCGGTCCTCGACTTACAACAGTCCATGTAGTGACCGTTCGAAGTTACAACGGCACTAAAAAAAAGTGACTTACGACCATTTTTCACACTTATGACCGTTGCAGCCATCCCCAGGGTCATGTGATTAAAATTCAGACCCCTGCCAACTGGTTCGTATTTATGACGGTTGCAGTGTCCCGGGGTCACGTGACCCTCTTTGACGAATCTTTTGACGAGCAAAGACAATTAAAAGTTTCTTCAACTATTTCCCCTTATGAACTCTTTGCATTTAATCTCCTGTCCCTTTCATTATCGTTATTTCATCAGGTAAAGATAGCTTGTTCTCCATATATTTTAAAGCTATCTTTAGTTTATCGTGTATTTTTACACAGATGTAGATTACTGACTTTGTACACCCGCTCTAAGCTTGTAGTACTGGAATAAAGGTTGTTCTGTACTACAGTAAACTATGAATTGATTAGCTAAGGAATTTTTTTTTTTTCAAATAAAGCTGCAGTTATCTGGTTCAACCCACATTCCAAGCCCTAGGTGACAATTGGCAAAGCACAGTAACTAAGTTACACAACGCTATATAAGTCAGGGGTCTTCAAACTTGGCCCTTTGATGACTTGTGGACTTCAGCTCCCAAAATTCCTCAGCCAGGCACGCTGGCTGAGGAATTCTGGGAGTTGAAGTCCACAAGTCATCAAAGGGCCAAGTTTGAAGACCCCTTCCAGAATTCCTTAGCCAGGTACGCTGGCTGAGGAATTCTGGGAGTTGAAGTCTACAAGTCATCAAAGGGCCAAGTTTGAAGACCCCTCCCAGAATTCCTCAGCCAGGCACACTGGCTGAGGAATTCTAGGAGTTGTAGTCCACAAGTCATCAAAGGGCCAAGTTTGAAGACCCCTCCCAGAATTCCTCAGCCAGGCACACTGGCTGAGGAATTCTGGGAGTTGAAGCCCACAAGTCATCAAAGGGCCAAGTTTGAAGACCTGAGGAATTCTGGGAGTTGAAGCCCACAAGTCATCAAAGGGCCAAGTTTGAAGACCTGAGGAATTCTGGGAGTTGAAGTCCACAAGCCATAAAAGGGCCAAGTTTGAAGACCTGAGGAATATCTGGGAGTTGACGTCCACAAGTCATAAAAGGGCCAAGTTTGAAGACCTGAGGAATTCTGGGAGTTGACGTCCACAAGTCGTAAAAGGGCCAAGTTTGAAGACCTGAGGAATATCTGGGAGTTGACGTCCACAAGCCATAAAAGGGCCAAGTTTGAAGACCTGAGGAATTCTGGGAGTTGACGTCCACAAGTCGTAAAAGGGCCAAGTTTGAAGACCTGAGGAATATCTGGGAGTTGACGTCCACAAGCCATAAAAGGGCCAAGTTTGAAGACTTGAGGAATTCTGGGAGTTGAAGTCCACAAGTCGTAAAAGGGCCAAGTTTGATGACCCCTGACATAAGTGAACAAGCGTCAGTAAGGCTGAAACACAGCTTTTAAATAACTACGGACACCTTATATATACGGGAAGCACCAGAAGCTTACCTTACTAGAGTGTTATGTAACAGGGCATATTTTGCCTTCAGCTCAGCCAGTCTAGTTCCAGGGATTTTTCCAGCGTAAAACACCTATGAAATTGCAAGACGTAAAAGAGATGCGTAGGTATGGATGCTAGTGAAATTGCGAAGCCATCACGGAGCAAATTGACCAACCTCAAGACAACACAAAAACAGATGATGGTTGTATATGTTTAGCAATGGGCAACACACAATCCTCGACTTAAAACGGTTCGCTTGAAGTAGCCACCGATCTCTTAAAATCGGCTCCAATTTTTAGCCCAGAATTTTAACGGAGATAAATAAGGGTTCCCCAGTAAGTCCATCATCATCATCATCATCATCACCGTGAATTTTATAAAGAAACGGAGTCACTATTGCATAAATAGAAGAGAACAGATCGAATAGATCAGTGTGTACATAGCAACAGGAACATTACGAAAAGAATTATTTCCTGCCCTGAGTCAGAAGTTCAGAATCTGGCCTTTGGTCAGGAATTTAATACTTTTGCAGCTCATTTTAAACAACCATTCTCCAAGGATATGTCAACATATCCTAATATG